GAGCAGAGGTGAGTGTGTGTGTGTGTGTGGGGGGGGGGCGACACAGTGTTACATGGCCCCCTAGATTTTTTTGGTTGCACGCACACACACACACACACCCCAAGGCCGACAGGCTGGGTGGCGCACTGAAGTGAGTCAGGGGATGCAGGTGGTACTCCCTCCCCCAACCCCACCTGGCATCGCCGCTCATCCCCCAGCATTACTGCTCACACCCCCTGAACGTTGCTCTGCACCCCACCTCCCAGGGAGCACACCCCACAGTTTGAAAACCTCTGTGGGGCATAGGGTGACCAGATGTCCCAATTTTATAGGGACAGTCCTGATTTTTGGGTCTTTTTCTCACATAGGCACCTATTATCCCCCACCCCCTGTCCTGATTTTTGATACTTGCTATCTAGTCAGCCTAGTGGGGCAGTCACATACTCCCCCCAAAAAACCTTTAAATTATGCCCCCCCCATCAACTGTTATAAGCCATCAGTGGGGGCAAGCAAGCATGTTTTCCCACCACAACCACCTTTTTCTTCCAATCCCCATTTTTCCATCCTGCAATTTATGCCATGGATGGCTGCCCCGCTTGCCCCAGTTACAGCCCTGCACCCAGACATCTCTCTGAGGCACGTATTGTATCCTACTGTGTCCTTTGTGCTGCCTCCCCAGGCTATGCTGTGGGTGTCACTCTATGGAGTGTTTGGAAGAGTGGACTCACCCCTAGCACCCTAGTTTTGGGCATGGCCTAGCACGCCTGCCAAGAGCCCCTCTGGCTCTGCAGTGGTCTTCCTTCCAGCCAAGTTATGCTACTTCCCGTCCCTCCCACAGGGCAGGCAAAGAGTCCAATGAACTCTTCACCCCTACCCAGGGGTACTCTGCCAGACTCTTCACCCCTTTCTGGCCTCTACAGGCCTGTCCTCCCACTCACATGCAGAGCAATGCCTCCCAGATCCAACTCAACAGTCCTTCTCCCCCTGGCCTCAGGTGTTGCCACACCACCTTTTCCAGTGGACCAGTAGTGAATGGAGCCCAGGCCCTTCCTCTCCTCTGGGTTCCAGTCCAGGGACCCCATAGCAAGCAGTAAAGGTCTGCTACCTCAGATGCCTCCCTGGACTTCTTCCTACATTGTTCTTCCTTTAGACCCTTTCCCACAGCCTGCCCCGTCCCTAGGCTTACTGTATAGCTGCCTCTCTCCCAGCCCTTCCGCCACACCCTAGCAAAACGCTGACCAGCTCTTCCCTTCTCACTCTACAGCCCCCTTCTCCTCAGGGCTTCCTTCCTTTATGAGTACCACCCAGTTCTTCCCGCAGCTGGGCTTCATCTTCAGTTAGGCCTGGCCCACTCTCCAGGTGCAACCAAGTACTCTAGGTGCTCTCTGTCTCCCGTTAACTCTTGCGTTGCCCATGTGGGTACATGCCCCATCACAGAGTGTGATAGTGCTGGGTTGTGTGTGTCTGCATGTCCATGTCTGGTAGGGTACGTGTGGAGGTAAATGGGTGTGAGGCGTGTGAGACTGCCTGACTGTGGGACTGGATATGTATTTGGAGATGGTGTGGCAGGAGGCTCTTCTCCTGTCATGATTGCACTGAGCTCTCCAGAGACAAGGCCACGCTGGAGAGACATGGCACAGATAACCAGTCAACTGCATTTAATTTTAAAGCAAGGGCTCCTGTCTGAGATGCACTTGAAGTAGACAAACTACAGGGAGATGCTACTGTGTGGAAGAGGCAATGGGGCTGGGGTGGAGACTGAGAAGGACATTTCTGACACTCGTGGCCTGTGTCGCCCCTGAGAGCATTTGCAGGTGGAGCATCCAGGTCCAAAGAGCATTTGCAGACTGCTTCCCCAGGCCAATGGAGCTGCTGGCAGTAGTGGTGATTTTCTGGATCCTTGGCCCAATACCTTGCTGAGAGTGTCCTTTTTCTTTGTGGTGGAGACAGCAGCCACACAGTGTGGTACAACGGCGCCTCCTGGAGGGGAATCTGAACAAGCTGCGGGGGGAGAGCAGGGAATATACCACATGGGTTCAATCCCCACTGGTGAAGGACAAGGATGACAGGGCAGAAAAGAAAGAGAACGACAGAAGGAAAGAGGCTGTGTCCCTGCTCATACACTGCAAGGTAAGGACCTCTGCAAGTATACAGTGCCACTTTTATACGCTCACTGATATTAGTGATAGAAAATACCCACTGGGTCGATCTGCTCCACTCCTAGGGAGCCAATGCCAGAGTGGTAGCTACGGGCTGTTCTCTCGTGCTTTTGTCCAGTCTCATTTCAAATGACCCAAGCAGTGGAGGTGCTACTTTTCTGTTCTCCCTCCAGTTCTGCCATTCTTCATCCCTTTTTCTGTGTCTCTCTGTCTCCTAGCGATTGCCAGACTGGATCAGACCCAGAGTCAATTCAGTCCAGGATCTTCTCTCTGACAGTGGCCAGATTTCTTTCTTATGCTCATCAGAACAGCTATGTGTTCCCTGCTTGAATTTGAATCTACTTTATTTTGGTTTCTCCCATGGAGCAGGAAGCTCACCTACTGCTGTATTTTGACTCATGTATGTGAGCAATTAGTAAGGATTCAGAAGATTTCTTCATTCAGTTGAACCCACAAACATTAAACAGCTCCACGGAGGTGGTATTACTTTAGCTTCTGTAGTGCCTTTCTTCTTAAATTGTTCCATATAAGAAGGTCATCCCGAAGATAGCACCCCCCAGCATCCCCTTGCAAGCTCTGAAGCAAGTCCAAAGGGTGTCCACGTATGTCTGCTGCATGACCATTCAACTGTGTCAAACACTATGTGATTAAAGGTATTGGATAGCACACAGATGATAGATCCAGTTTTTGGTAAGTTTTAGGTGACTAGTATATGAAAATCCACTTTAAAGCTACATTTAAGTTTCAGTGGCTAGCTTTAAATCCCTTAGTGTGCTTGTATTCAAAGACAAGACTTTTGGTAAAATGTGCATATCTTTGCACTTCCAGTTAGCACAATCAGGTACCACAGTTGTATACAAATGTACACACCATCTTCTGGAAAGTTTAGACCCAAGTATCTCAGGCCCACGTAACTAATTATTTGTCTGTTTTGTTTTCAGGCTATTGCTGTTAGAGATACTCAGCCTTATCTACGCTGGGTTTTAGCAACTGGAGTAGCTATGCTGCCATAACTGCAATAGAGCAAACTGTGACTTGCACTGGTATAAAGTCATGGCTTGAGCTGTTGGACTATATATGGGTAGCTAAACTGCTTGCTAAAGCCCCAAGTTAGTCAAGGCCTCAATTTGGTGAATAAAGGGGTTTGATTATTTTAACGTCATAGAGTCTGTGTATTTCCATAGAGAATGATAGAGGAATTTTTTTGATCTTATGCTGGACAGGTGTCAGGAAGGGAAATCCAGCCATAGCAACACGTAATGGGGTCTTTTACCAACCTTGGCGTCAGACCCTGCCATTGCCTCAGTTTCCCTTCTTGGGCTTCCCAAGGACTGCACCCAGGCGTTCATGCAAGTTAAATAACACCCTTTCTTGGGGTCTGGATTATTAAAACAGCATCTCAGTTCAAACATCACTTTGGTTTAAATGGAGTCTGTCCCAGCTCCACAGTTTCTTCAGCGACTTGTTGGGCTCAACAGTGCTTTTCCAAAACCCTATCCCTAACCCTGGGCATAGGCACCCCTTCCTTGCAGGTCTCCTTTCCCCTCTCAACTCCCTTGTATCTGCCTTAAAGCCCAACACCTTGGGGAAGGCATCTGATAAGGTACAGATGAGGCTGAGTCCTTTAAGGGCCAGGCCATCCTGTGAGGGGCAGTCTGAATTTCCATGAAAACCCCAGAGAATCTGTAACCCCTGCACATCAATGACTCTGAAGTGCTGAAGACTGTTGTAGTCAGGCCTGTTTTGTTCTGCTTACTGGTAGTCAAGTATTATTCATAGAGTTTTCTGGTGTTCCCACCTTAAGATAGGAACTCCTCAAGAGGAAATGTACACGTTTCCTTTGGTCCTGCAACTTTTCTAATTCACTTCAGGGATAAAAACATGTGCATGGAAACAGTTGTTGTAGCTTTAGAGGGAGTCACCAGAAGGCTGCAGGTTCTGTGTAAGTAGTAACGTCTGGGAAAAATACTTATTGCCAGCTGTGATTTTGTTCTTAAGAAATTCTGTCTGTGAGAAACTCATTCTTCAGCTCAGAGCTGCTCTTTATAGGTTAGACCCGAGCAAGGAAACAGAATATTATGTGGTGGTGACGTGTGTCCCCATAATGTCACTAGGCTGCAGTACTTGGCATATACTTGGAAATAAAGCTGACTGCAGCTAGTCAATGGTAATTAGTATGTGAGGATCCTCAGTCTACCATTATTTTCACTCTAAGGCAACTGAATTGCTTTTAGGGCCTTGGTTGGTTCCCGAGATCACAGACAGCGTCCAATCCACATAGTTTCTGCTGCAGAGTCATTGTGGCTTCTGTTTATTTGATTTATGCGAGTTCTTCATACAGTTCTATAGCAAAGTGCCCCTTTTTCATCACACCGTTTGCCAGCTGCAGTTTTTGCAAAGCATTTTGGAAAGTCAGTCATGTGACTGACATCTGCACACCAAAAGCAAGATGTTATTTTTGTACCGGGGCTTGTGTATTGTTCATTTGGAAACGGACGCTGAAGGAGCCCACAGTGTGAGGCTGTTTTTCCTCTATGCTGAGCTTGTGATGCAGCCACAAGACAGAGCTCAGTTGATGGAAGCCACTGGCTGGCTTTGAAACTGACATGATTTCTGCAAAAATAGCTGTTTGTAAATGATTGATTCTTAAAAAGTCCCTCCCCTCCTGGAAATTTGGTTAATAAACACTGAATAAATAATAATGGCATCTGATAGCTGCAGATTTAAAGTTTTGTAGTAATTCTGAATAGGGTTGCCAACTTTGTAATCACAGAAAACCGAACACCCTTGCCCTGCTCCCTGCCCCTTCTCTGAGGCCCCCACCCCCACTCACTCCATCCCCTCTCCCTCCATCGCTCGCTGTCCCCCACCCTCACTCACTCATTTTCACCAGGCTGGGGCAGGGAGTTGGGAGGGGTGAGGGCTCCGGCTGGGGGTGCGGACACTGGGGTGGGGCTGGGGATGAGGGGTTTGGGGTGCAGGAGGGGGCTCAAGGCTGGGGCAGGGGATTGGGATGCAGGCTCCAGGCGGCACTCACCTCAGGTGGCTCCCACAAATGACTGGCATGTCCCTCCAGCTCCTAGGTGGAGGGGCCAGGGGGCTTTGTGCA